GAATTTAATTTTTACAAAATGCAAACATAAAACTAAATTTGCTATATATTTAAACTAGATGGCTAAAATTATATAAATTAATTATTATTAAAAATGTAAAGAAAATGAATTGGTAGAAGTTGAAATATGAATGCAACATGGTACAAAATAAATTGAATAAGATTTGGCATGGTATTTCAGTTATAATTTGCTTTAATCTGAATACCTTCTTGAATTCCTAAAAAACACACAAGGAAGGAAGGATATTTTCTCATAGCAATCTAAACTCGAACTCTGCGCTTGTGAAATCTTTTTTAACTTTAGCGTATGGATACTGTAGCAAGACAATTTTATATGATTAGTCACTGATCGAACGGTGGGTGGGTCAGGTATAAGTTATAAATTTAGAAGTAAATTGTCTATAAAATCGATTAAACCGAAGGCGGGATAGTCAAATAATTTTTCGCCTATCGTAGAAAAATGCGCTTTCATTGAAAACTTCACGTTTCCCTTGTTGTGTAATACACAAATGGTCCATACGCGTAATAAAACGCAGTCCATACCATTGTAAATTATAAAAAATCGTATAATTATTTGGAAAATAAAAAAATCTCATTTAGCTTGATTTTTATTTCCCTGTCATCTGCAGCAAACTAAATTTCATAAATTAATTACATTCTTGTAATTAATTTATGAAGTTACAATTACAAATACATTCTTGTTTGCAATCGTCTATCATTTCAAAAATAAAGAGACAACATTAAATTCAATATTTTCCAGTTAAAAAATTGGAGATTGGAAAAAAAAGAATTGGTTACTATTGCCTAATTGAATCATTTCCTAGGTTTCATACAAGATTTATTAATATAATGTAAACAGGAAACAATCTTATTGGAATGGCACTTATCACCTTACAAAGTTGGCATTATAATGCAAACCGTTCAATTTATTCTTACAATTAAAACCAGTTCCGAATTTTAATTACAGTTTTAATTAAATTATTACAGCAAAGCGCAATTAATGCAGTTTATTTCAAAATTATATACGGGAGAACAAAAACTTTTAGTTGGTCCCTTTGAAATTTTTTCAATTCTAAAATATCGTAAAATTACCCATTTATTTTGTGCCAACTTTATTAAAATATGCGTAATATTGCTATAAATATATTAATTAAAAATATTAATTAGCTAATATATATTTATATTTTTTCTCAATTTAAAAATTTTTTATTAAATATTATGATATAAGTAGAGCATAATTAAATAAAATCGTAAAACCGCAATAATTTTCAGTAGATTAATAATTAAAAATTAGTTTTTTTAAAATGCTAAAAATGCAAGTAAATAATATTTTGTATTTTTCAAATTATATACATACATGTATTATATTATATATATATAAATATATATTTAATATTATTTAGCATGAAAAAGTAGCAAACTCTATATTTAATTAATATTTTTTAATATACATAATTTAAAAGTAAAATTAATTTAAATTTAATTTAAATAATCATTAATATTACAAGTATAAGAGCTTTATAGTAGTAATGAAGTATAAATTAATTTTTTATAATTATTTTATTAAAATGTATATTGAAATTTTTATAACAAAATATATTTAATATAATTATATTTTTCAATCAACATAAAAGTAATTAATTAATATTTATTGTAGATGAAATTTATTAATTTTATTCAGAGAATCGTACATTTATACATACACATTAATTTTCAAATTTTTTCATTTCTCGCCTTATATGTACATTCTACATTACATTGCTATCACTGTGATCTAATTTAATCTTACAAATCACACTTTCTTTACATTTTTACAGTGAAACTGTTTGTTTACTTAAGTTTTCTTTTCTTTCCTACTCGTATATCAAAATGACGAAAGCAATACAAATTCAGCAATTTTCCTATTTGTAGTATTAAAGGCTTAAAGGCCGGTGTTTCGACCGAATTAATACGTTTTTAAGCTACCGCAGTTATAGACGGGCAGACGAACGAAAGAGTGAATGAAGCAGAAATATACCACTATCTAAGTCGACCAAGAATTCGGCGTATATTAAGAATATATTTTTAACTTATAGTATGTATGTATAATTCACACGTCTACTTCCTAGTTTATTGCCCTATATCCATCTACAAAATTAGTTTCAATTATACATTTATTTGCATACTTCTTCAACTTTTCATTTCCATAAAGACAATTTGCAAAAGAGGCTTACCAAAAAGTTAAATACTGGTATTCATAAATTCATAAATTTTAAGTAAAAATTTTTATGCATCCAAAAAAAACCCTTTATAAATTTGCACGTAATTGAGATTTTATTCAATTTTCAACCTATATCTTATACATTGCTTTAAGGCAACATTTTATATTATTTTAATCTTCACTATTTTAAAAATATTTCTACGTAATTTAATATATCGCATATTCTGAAACAAAAAACTAAGAATAATAACCAAAAAAATTCTAATTAAGCAGAATAAAAAGCTGCGCGTTATTGTTTTCCGGCCACCCTTTTATTTCAAAGATTATCATTTAGATTTTAGACAAAGATGTCATATGACTATTTACAACTTATAAGACTTTGACCTCAAATTGCTTGAGCTCAAAATCTTATAAATTAAAAGTAAACAAAAAAATTAGTTTTCAAGATTAATTGCGCTATCCTTGACCAAATTCTAGATTCCTGAAGAGAATTCTTTATATCCGTTTTAAAGCAGGACGGCACGTCTTCCCTTAATGTCAAAAATGGGCAAATAAAAAAAGAAGATATGAATGTAGTTTCTAAATCTCTCCAACAGTTACCGATTTCGTTTCACCCAATGCCTACTGTGGCTATGTTTTTAGGTGAACGTCCCTCTATTTTTTATGCTATTCCAACGAATGAGAGTACGCAGTACTCTCTTATAACCTGACCCGATTACGACAACATATTATACTTTTGATTAGGATTAGTATTTCTTGATCTTATTTATTATAAATTTGGTATTCTTAAAAGAACACTCTTTTTCATCGTTTCTCAATATCGATTAAAGTGTACTAAAACTTTACGAGACGAGATTAATGTCTTTGTCATAAATAAGCCGAAAAACCTAGTCGGCTTGTTACAAATAATTTATTTTCGTTTTTTTCTAAACGGCAAACTGCATTTCTTATACTTCTTTTCTCGTTTTCAATGCGGTGGAAATAAAAACAAAATTTTTCAAACTTTTATTAATTCTTAAATTATGTACTATGGCTTTATTTTTAGCACAGAATACACTTTGATAAAAAAAACAACTTGTGATGATAATTTAGCGTCTTGTTAATTGTTAGCCTTTATTAAAATTTTAAAATTTACAATTGGTTGTATGCAAAACTGTCATAAAAAGTCTTTTCGAATGACAAGTTAAGTTATCAGCACAAAGTCTTTATACTATTTTTTAATATTTTCTATTTGTGTCTATTTCTTGCTTTATAATAATATTTTTAACTTTATACAAAACGTAAAAACTTTATGAACTCTAACACAGCATAGAAAATGTATACAAGGTCCGAATTTTTTTATATTTTTTTTATAAGATCATTTTTCTTTTGAAACACCTTACATTTATTAAGTAAAAAAGTGTTAAATTTTAACACCCTAATTTTTTGTTTTTAAATTTTTTATTTTCTAACACAATTTGCGTCATAAACTTATTAAAGAAATCGTGTATTGCGTTTCACGCATCGTATTGGTTTCACAGAAATTTGAATCAGGTATGGATCAATCCTCTAGTATGGATTAAAACAAAGTTTTTGTTAAAATTCTGAAATTTTTCATAATTTTCTTTAAAAATTTTGTTAAACGCATTTTGAAGAGGTGTTTTATTAAATATTAAAAGTTTTGACAAGCTTTTGTCAGGAGCTCTCTATTTAAAGATAAATTTAGCATCTTTGAAACGTTCTCGTTAAAAGTTGCAAAATATATTAAATTTATGGAATTTTGACAAAATCAGCAAAATCTTTTGTTTATATTTTCTAAAACTTTATGTTGACCAAACAAATATCCAAATTGTATTACTCACTCATGCATATAATATTATAATATGTTCAATATGTTTCTTCGTCTGGGCTATTCTTGTTAATATAAAGAATATATTTTCAATAGATTTTAAACAAGCTCTACCGGAAATAAAAGTTTTTTTAAATTAATAAACATACAATACAGGTTCATATACAGAATTTTAATTTTCTGACTAAGATTTTTCATTTCCACTGCAAAATTTTGTAAACCAACCATTTTAAATGTGAGGAAAATCTTACAATTTTAGAATTCGCCGCATTTTTGGCATGGTCTACAACATACTACGACTATATTGGAAGCAGAGTATGAGTTATTGATGTTTTAAATAGCTTGAAACTTACAACACAATTTGCTCTCTTTAAAAATTTTATTTATTTATTTTATAATTTACAAAGGACTGCTATACATTTTCTACACTGAATTTACAGCCAATACGATTCTCAACTCTTGTTTTTTTTTTTGATAATAAAATTAAATAAATAATTTTTTTTTTAAATATTTGTAGTAATAAAGCAAGCAACCAAAACAAAAAATTTAATAAAAAAGCAAATTATAAATATGTAAAGTGGCTCAATTGTAATTTGAATAAATTTTTTTTCTTATTTCTTTTATAATATCGCAATAAAATTAGAATTAATAATTAAATATTTTGTAGTTGATTATTTAATAAATATTTTTTTCAATTTTTCTCCTATATATTACTCTATATTATTAATAGCTAAATATATTTTGTAAGAATTTTATTGTATAAATTAAAATTAAAACAAAAAAAAAATGAGAATATTTTATGCAAAATTTAAAATTCTCTTATAAATATTTAAAAAAATTAAAATAAAATATTATAAAATGCAATTTAATTTACTAAATAAAATACAAAAAATAAAAAATATTTTAATAATTTTCAATATTAAAAATTTTCTAAAACGTTTGCTTCTATTTTCAATGCTAAATTTTATTACAGCGTTTTTTTAGCAACCAAAAAAAAAAAGAAAAATAAATTTTAGATAGAAAAAGTATATAGGAAAAAGAAAGGATAACGAACGTTCAGAAAAAGGTTCACGAAAATTATTTTGAGAGAAAAAACAAAATTTATTTTTAATATTTCTAAAATTAATAAAGCAAATATTAAATAAATTAATGAGGAAAATGTTTACACAAACAGAGGTAATGCCAGAGGTAAATTATAAGGTCACAAAAAAAAAATTTCTTATTTTTATTCAGAATTATTGGTTTTTTATTTATTTTAACCTTTATTTTTACATTTTAGTTTATTTTTATAATAAAATGTTAATATTAAAGAAAAAAAACAGAACAGAAACAAAATTATATATTAGAATTAAATAATATTTTTATACAAAATTGTTTATACATAGTGTATGTACATATATACCTAATTGAATTTCTTTTGTATATAGAAACTCTCATTAACTATAAAAATAGAAGTAAGTAAATAAATTTCTACTCTATTGTACCTACATATTTTGCATTAAAAAAATGGCTTTCTACAAAATAAATATAGAAGAAATAATTTATTAAATAGAAATCTAATTAGACTCAAATAATATTTTAGTTTTAGAAATTAATCACTAAAGCTCTTGCACACTCTTCACTAACTAATTTATTAAGAAAATACAAAAGAGAATAATAATATTCATAATTGCAACTGTAATTATTACATAAATATTGTATATATATATATCTATTGTACATATAAAATTCATTTTATATACATACATACATTATGTATAAAGATTTATGTATAATTTATATTATATTTATTTAATATAGTTCTTAAGTATTTTAATGAAAATTTTCTTATTAAATTAAAAATATAATGAGAAAACCAAATTATAATAAATAAAATTTAAGAATTTGTTCAAACTTGCGTATAAAACGAAACTAACCGAACATAAGCAAACCTAAAAAAATGCCTTAAAGTAATCTGCTATTAATTTTTATTGCAAAATTTTCACTAAAGCAGAGTTAAACTTTACTCAATTTATTAGCAAAATTCGCAAATGGCGAATACGGCGTGAATGAAATCAAATAAAATTACAGACTAGTAATGATTTTGTTGAAAACAAAAGTATAAACTCAGATGTTAAGTCACTTTAGTTTTGGTGAAACTTGACTTTATATACACATGGAGTAACATTATTTGTTTCTTCAGAGTTGGCAAAACTCTCAGGGAATTTTCGCAGTTTTACAAAAAATTGTTTTTGTGGGAAATGCAAACTCAGATGTGTAGCTTGCGAGAGTTAGAGATAATTAGATTATTAGAAAAATTCTGAAATATTTAAAAAAAAGAAAGCTGAGAATTTTTCGAAAACCCAAAACATTTCAAAAAGGCCCCATTTGTTTTTCGCACTCTGTAGAGTAATATTTTTTTGTGAGTTTTTTTAATTTAAAAATTTACTTTGCAAAATATTTTATAAATTTTCTCTTATTTTTCGATTTATAAATTCTAATTATACCTTTAAGTTCTCATTCACCTTTTTTGTCCTAATGTTATGCAATTATTTCAATTCTTATACCGTTATTTGTGTTAATGGATCCATAGCTTTCTGACTAGTAGGCCAAATAAAATATTTAATATATTTAGTACTTTAAATAATAATCAAGATTAAGTAAATTAATGTGGTATTTAAACAACATCGATTGATAATGAATAAGCTAAAAAATATTCAAGAAATAAAGAAAATTACAAGTACATTCAACATTTTAAACCCATTTTATTCTCTTAAAAAATAATTTCATATTAATTTGGTATTATCATGTTTTATATATAGCCTTCAGAGAAATACAATAAAATGCCTGAAGATCTTCTAAAATTTATGAGAAAAAATTAATACGCCTACACTTGCAAAAATTTAAAGAATAAATATAAAATAAATTTCAATTGATCCAGCTTAATCATGATGATATGGTCTAGAATCTCTGGTATTTTTTTTTTTGTGTATTTTGGAATCATGCATGTAGCTATACATGGCCATATATAACGTAATTTGAAGAAAAAGCCTTAGGTTTTCCTACACATTTTCCGTTCAATAAAATATTTAATTACAAAATTATCTAATTTTATAGTTGTATTCTGTTTAAAAAAATACCAAAAATCCATTAAACTTTCGATTAAAATTCTGTACAGGCCAGGATCAGGTATGTTTAACAATCAATTGATGTTTATAATCTTCATCATACTTTTTGAATTTTAATTAATAAATTCAAGATTTTAAATATTTACATTTTTCCACATAATTTATAATGTCCTTACTAATGAAAAAAGGAAAACTTTTAAATATTTTTTTAATTAAAATTTATACTATAATAATGTGGATTCAATATAGTAGTGGTAGTTTTAATAGTATTGCCATGAGTTTTTATTTATCTGTTAGAATTTTTTAAGGATTTCCAGATTCAATCTCGAAATGTCGAAAATCAAATTAACAAATTTGACAAAAACTATGTTAAGTATAATAAAGGGGCTTTATTTTATTTAAATCAGTCACAAATGATTTTGAACGGTGTCAACGCAATTCTTAACTTAATATTTAAAAATATTGGAAAAAACTCAAATCCTTTTTGATTCGCAATCTCAGAGAAAACGTGAAAGCAAAGGACTTTTCAAGACAAGAACAATATTTCAAGGAAATGAAGAAAACAGCAAAAAAATACAATAGAAAGGTCTTTATTATTGTTAAGTCAAAGGTGTGGTAATTTAATAAACGGAAGGGAAATGGCAATCAGCCTCATTATGAATTCCGTTCGTACTTCGCAGACCTGAACTTAGAAAAATTCTAAATGTCATATTGTTAATTCCGAAATATCGAAATTCTACTCCGAATATTCTGAACAGAATCAAAGAAGAAAATCAGCTTTGATAAAGTGCGTATGTAGCGCACGAAATATATTAGCAAAAAAATAAAAAAAGTATTTTATTCCGGATAAAAGGAAGTTTTCTTTTCATACCAATAAAAAAATAAATGCCAAAGGTCTACGAAAGAAATAATCACACCACGCGTAACAAGGAATTTTAAGAGAACGGACGTTTTTAAATTTTTCAGTAAAGTTGCAAATTCTCTATTTTCTTACTCTAACGCAGATACCATATGAAGGTAAATGAATTCTTCTTTCCTCAAAAGAGCTTTTTTTTCAGTTTTAGAAAATATTCAAAAGCTGTAAATAACAAAAATATAAATAAACATTTGGCAGCTGAAATAAAATACTGATTTTGATACTCAGAAAAATGGTGTTGCCATTACTGATTCATATTCTCTACGAATGGAGTTGATATGATCTTTCAGAGGCCATTGTGATCATTGAGGTGATTGTGATCATGATAGGGCTAAACATTAAATAACAACTGATGTTAAGAAAATAACCTTTAGAATACACCTACAATTAATTGGTAAAAAATTATTAGATTAAAAATTAATGCAAAAATTAAAAATATCCTGTTTCATAAGGAAATTTTGTATTGCTAACGCAGCATTACATGTCATCAGTTATATCATAAATGTAAATGTGAAGATATTGTACAGGTAATGCTGAGCAAAACCTTTTGCCCACAATTACCCTTTTAAAATTTCGAAAAGATAATTAATAACCTAAAAATTTAAAGTTTACTCCTATATAGCAAATTAGAATCTATTTATTAGATTCTAATTTGCTATAAGAGCAATATTTGCTGTATAAGAGTATTCTATAATCAAGTTATGTAGCGAATAAACACATCTTGTTTCAACTTTGTAAAAATATTTCTCACAAAATTCTTTAAGTGGAATGTACCATATAGTACGAACAAAATAAAAATCTAATTCACATTTTGCATACATAACTGGTAAAATTTTATAAATTAGTGGAATATCTGTGGAATTCACCCGAATTTCAGAATCATTTTTTTCAATATGGAAATTCCTATTCGCTATTCTTTCTTTCTTTGGTGTTCTTATTATTTACTGTTTTTGGGAAAATTTATTAAAACAGACAAAACATGCTAGAATTCACCATAATTGTATAAGTTTATTCTACAGAAACTCATCACAGATCATTTCTTTAAATTGCTTACTAGATCGGGATTAATGGATTTATGGACATGATTTTTTTCCATAGATGCATCTAAATACAGTATGTTGTACTCCACAGTTCTTAGAAATAATTGGAAAGTTCGCGAAACATTGACCCTTTGTTATATCACTATAGTTCACCTAAAAAGACTAAAACCAGCCGTATTTCGTGAATACGCATTAAGAAATCGGGAGGAAAACTAGAAAAAATTAACATTTCGCCAAAAAGTGTGCTATAATTTTTCTACTGATTCAAACAAACAACAAAATTTTTCTTAATTGTCATCCCAATTTCCGAATAGACCCATCTACACATTTTTTATTTACATTTATTTACAACTAGGTATGCAATAAACTAGTCGGGCATGAATTAACATACTCAAAGATCGACGAAATCATGATTTTGTTGATAGAAAAAGTTAATAAAGCTAATAAAGTCACAATAGAACAAGGAAAATTTAAAAAGAGTATGTAAAATGAAAACCTCAATAACTTTTACAACTCGATTGCTTCACATTCTTTGCAGAAAAATTTCAAGCTATTTACGCTTAACACTCATACTACTAAATAGTGGTATAAATTCAAACCACATATTATACTTGGCGTACACTAAGTGTGGTAATACACTCAGTTACGATAAAAAATAATATTATGTACACATGTATGTGAATTACATATATTTTTGTTTTAACTAAATCAATCAATAATGAATGGTTGATAAAAGCAAAAAAAAAGTAATTTTCATCAAAGAAAATATTGATACTTTTTATAAATATTGAATTAGATATAGTTTCGAAGCACGTATCCTAAGGATATTAAATGTAAACAATATTGTGTATGTATAAATGCTATATGTGTATATATATATCAGTCCATCAAAGAAATTTCATTAATTTTAACAGTCTTGTATAGGTAAAAACCAGGTTCGCCATTACTTTGGGCTTATTGATAAACTGTAAGATTCCCGGATTTAAATTCTGGAAGGGTCGTTATCTCTTTGCAATATTAATGATAAACTGATTTTATTAATGATAAACTCCAAAGGATCTATTATAGCACTACCTTGCACTTAGCATAAGTTGAAAAGAGAACCTTAATTTAATTCAGAACCTATTCAGAAGTAGCCGAAATAAACTCCCTTCCTTCAATACAAAAATAATAATATTTAATCTTTACAAATTGGAAATTATATTTAACTCAAACAGCATTTACCGTGCGCGGAAGCAGTAAGTCATAGACATACATAGTGTAATGCAGTGCATGTAAATGTCGCATACCAATAAGCTAAGAACAACACATGATTCGATTTGTTACGAATTAGACTTCATTTTAATGCTATTTGCCCTACCTACAAAATTTGTTGGGTAGTAATATATTTTACATGCAACGACTTCTCTTTTTTGTATTTCTGAAATGCCACATAGTGAGAAATTTCGTGAAAAAACTTGTACAAGTATTAAAGATTGCAAGTTCTTATTCAAACTTTTTCGTCTTAATATAGATCATTAATAACACCATGTTTGCAATACCTAAATCAAACTCGAATTAATTGAGTTTAATTAATGTTAAGCTTTACCAGTTTTTGTAGAAACCTTTTATTAAGTTTTATTTATTGGCAAGGCACTGTTATTCCTTATATTATGATAAATATTACCAAATACACATCATGTATGTATACACAACAAAATACACACTATAATTTTTATAAATTTTTTAAAGGATTACAAAATTGAATTTTATTGGACTAAGGGCTGAGTAATTGAAATGATATAGAGTAAACTTTAAAATTATTTGTAGAATAAATTTTAACCCAATCCAAACTGTAAAATGTATAAGTTAAAATCCAGGTATCATACACAACAAAAACAACATTTTAATAAAACAGCGGAAAGGAAATGTTAAGGATGTTTGTATGAGAACAAAGTTGGGTTAAAAAGCAAGAAACCTCTTAAATTGTTTTATTTTCCACTGCGAATAATGATTGTTGTGTCTGATATTTGTTGAAAAATTTTCTTTGATGTTTATTTGTGTTCAACCTTCCCGTTTAAAGCGGAAAAGTAAATTTCTAGTGTAAACGGCAACTTGTTGATTCGAATAGAAAATATACTGTTGCTGCAATATTTTGTGTACATAGTATATAGAATGAAGGAACTACATATAGATAGTCTGTATCTTATTACATTACAAGATTCATAAATGATTTATGACATTTTCTTATATTAAAAATTTAATTATGAAAAATGAATTGCAATAACTTTCAATACTAACAATCACTCAGAATAATTTCTTGTTTTTCTTTGAATAAAAACTAAAGGATTGAAGTTCGTTTATGTATGCTACACAAAATCTATAATCTAATAATGGAAAAATAATACTTAACAGTAATGATTTATACTTTCTTGAAAGTGGAAAACCCGAACCATAATTAATAATTTTAGAATAACATATTGTTGATCTGTCAAGAAATTAAAAAAAACCTACAAAATAAACCTTGTTTTCGACTTTAAATATCAAACCAATAAAATGATATTTAATACAAAAAGAGATTTTTTTAATACATACATAGAGGAATAAATAAAAGAATTTGTTCTTAGCTTTCAAAATATTATCTATTTATGCCGTCTATCTTAAACGCAAAAGAAGTTATACAAATAATTACAAAAATAAATAGGGGAAATTGACGTTAAACTGAAGCGTCTTACAAGCTGGTAAACTGTGAAAATGGTTTCCTAACTCATGAATTTCATGTTTGTGTATTCCTAAGTGCCTGTGCAATGTGTATAGCAGTGCGTTTAAAGCGAGAACGCAATGTATATACAAAACTGTAAAATTGAAAATTGTAAGAAAATCGATAACAACCGGTCCATAACTATCGTTTTAAATGAAATTAATCTAATGATGTACCAAGGACTCACTACCTTGCTTCATTTTAGTTGAATATGAAACTTTTTTTAAAATTCGGTATTGATATTGCAATTATGGAAAAGTTGTTCCAAAAATAAAGCGTAAGACTTTTATACAAGGAAATTCATATTAAATCTGTTCGATTTCGATAAAGCCTTATGATAGCCTGACAACTGTTTCACTCACAGACAATGAAGTATTGATTTGGCTTAAGTATGAATCTTATCTTAATAATAATCTTATCATATTTGCCCAAGTGTGCTATACCAATTGGTTGTTTTATGCCAAAATAACATGATTCTAAAAAAATAATGTGCGCAATATTTTTCCTTAAAATTATCAGATTCTCTGAAATAGAAAATAAAATCTTAAAAATAATTTCTTCTTATTAAATTCTGATTTTTTTCATTTTTTTTTTAAATTACATACAAATTGCATTTATTATAAGTTACTAACCAAGTATATGGACCCATACATTTTTTACTTAAATACCTTCGAGTAGAAAAACACATAAATTTAATTTCAATCAAAAATGCAATGAAGCAAAATTAAAGTGTACTAAATTAAGTTGAAAAAGAAATTCAAGTGTAACACATAATTAAATTATCACTTTAGGGATATACTCAATCTCATAATTACATTATAAACCCCCTAGCAAATGAACAAACATTAAAAATTAAATTTCCCAACCCAACCATCTTTACTTTTTTATATTTTTATCCATTTTCCATTTGAATTATTATTAATTGTAGCTTAAATATATTTTTCTCAACACTCTTAATTTTTTATACATCCTTATACCTTGTTAATTAAATCATTTTATTGCACATATACATATATTAAAGAATTGACCATATAGGAAATACACATACTTACGTTCAACAAAACTTCATTGAAAAAAAAAATTAATGTTTCCAATATAAAACTTAATTTTATCGAACCAAAAATTCAGCCAATTAAGAAAGATATATGAAACAGTTCTGATTTTAGTAATGAGCAATGGTTCTGTTTCATTTTATTTTACTCTTTACTAAATGTAAGAATTTAAGATTAACTTTTAAGTATAAAAGTAATTTAAAAAAATTACGTTAAGCTCATTAAAAGAATTTCATATGAAATTGTAATTATTCGTAAAGAGAAAAATGTAAAATGAAACCTTATGAATATTTTTAAGTACCAATGAGGTCGAATACATTTAACACTGGCAATCCTTAACTCTGAAGATACAGAGATATTAACGAAAATCGAAATTCAATGTCGGACATCTTCCAATGGGTATCCAATATACGGTTATAATGAAATATGTATTGTAAAATTTCTTGAACGAAACCAATATTGTTCTTAAAGTTACACGTGTCTGTCCTCAAATCAATTTAAATTTTCAGAATATTTTCTATTTTAATTAATATACTTTATCATTTTCGGATTATGGCACTTTCATTAATTGAAGGTTCTTACCCTCTGGTTCTTAGTGGAATGGTTGAATTAGATTGCTAGCAAAACTCATTAAAATGTGCAATTATAGCTTTAATTTTATGATAAATAGTTACCGAAAATTAATATTTTATTGATTTTGAAAGGCATTGTATGAAACAAATTAAAATGAAATATCAAAGCGATTTACGATCTATGTATGAATGATCATGGGTATTTCTAAAATTAGCCTTTATGCTTTTTGCTTTATTCTAAGGAAATTTTTATCTCATTTTTTGTTTTGTTCCACTTCGGTCCTGGGAAAGGCATGATATCGTAGATAACCATGAACCAGTTTCTTGCATCTTTGGGTTTACTAGGAAGTCGTTGAGCCTATACCTTTTATCGCTGAATCGCTGAATCAATCGTTTCTTACTAAGCTACACAAGGTGCCAAAATGTCGATTTAACTAAGATATTTCACATAATTGTTTATAATATAATATTAGAGAAATTATTCGGGCCGGTTGTCTCTGCATCATGAAATGGTAAACAAAATGACTCAATTTGAAATATGCGCAAGATGTCAGAAGAAAAACCAAACATTAAAATGTGTGTCCCATTACCCGATACATTATAATTTTATTATTACGAGTTCATTATTTTGAGTACAGTTACGGTTAAAAATACCAAATTTTTCTTATTTGTTATATTTTTCATATCATAGCTCTTTTATTCATGCTCTTAATTTTTATTATTAAATTACATGCATATATATACATATATGTGTATATACATATACATATATATATATATATGTATATATCGATATTTTAATTAAATGACAAGCAAATGAACTAAAAATTAATAGAAATTTTTATTTTCTCTTAAATTGTATTCCAGAAAAGTGCAAAAATATCAGGATATATTCCTAATTTCACTGGAATCATGGGTGAGTACCTTTCTATATCATATTTTGAATATAATATATATGTTATGTCAATAAATATACTTGTTATTCATAACAAATATTTTTTTTTTGTCAAAATAAAAAAAAAACCACAATATGAATAAAACCACTTCCTAATAAATTCCATAAATTTGAGAAAAACAAATTTTATTGAAATCAAATTTTTGCAAATTGAAAATTTTTGTTAACCTCAAATGGATATTTGAATAAATTTAGCAATCAGTAATAATAATAACAATAATAAGAACAATAACAACAACAATAATAACAGCGTCCAATATAAACTCATATATGATCCTGAAAATTCAATTGAAAAAATATATTTTAGCCTTCAAGCAATTTCAATTTAACTTTTTTAATTGAAATATCAATGTAATTCTAATGCAAGGGCATTCATATATAAAAATGTCAGACCTATATTACAATATTAGATTCCGTGATTTTCAATTTTATGATAGCCCTTCTTTAATAATATACATAAAAAATCCAATATATATGTTTACTTATAAACAAAAAGAAGATTGTATAAAAATTAAAAGTACCTACACATATTTTAAAATCTCTTCGTGAAATCCTGTGATTGCATATCCTTTTTAATAATTTTAATATTCTTTTAAATAAATATGGATTATATTATGCATGTATGTGTGTACATGCATACTATATATATTGGTTTTTTATTTAATATCTTAAAGTATTTCAAAATAAAATTCAATTATTTAAAATGAATTTGCATACGAGTTTATTAAACCATAAAGGTTTATGTGTAACTGGAGAGTTTATTACATTGAATAAAAATGAATTTACTATTTTTCCATTAAGGGCCGGAAAAAAAGAAATTATAGACTATAAAATTGAATTTTTTTCAAAATTGATTTCTGAAATATTTTTGAGGTCGAGGTTATTAAGTACACATATAAAGACTATATGCTAAATCGAATTTAGTTTTCACAATAAAAATGTAGTTCGAATGGTTAGATGCGGGGATGCATTAATATTAATAACAGGATTAGGAGAGAGTTAAATAATATTTAACACTGTATATTGCATTGAATTACGCAGCATTTGTTCAGTTGTTCAACATTATACACCTTACATACTTGTAAGCATTTGCGCTTTTAAGTAAGCCCTAGCATACATAAGTCTCTTTATTTTGAATCATAATTCAATAATTCCGCTTCTTTCTGCCTGCCTTTTGGTTTTTTTTACTGGAAAATTTAAATTACAATTTATTTACAAATTTAACCAGCCCAATTTTTCCTTCCGTCAACAAATTTTAAATAGACACTTATTATAGACAATGGACTAATTATTATTAATAATTTTATGTAATTTCTACGTGTCTAATAATCAAGACTCATCTGATGATATGAGCTTTTTTTCTCAAAAATTCTTTGATAAAATAAGCTTATCGCCAAGGTAAAAACATTTTTGTTAAGTACCAAGTATCATTTAATTTTCAAAATGAAAGACTTATTAGCAAATATTATAAAACAAAAAAAAAAGTCATGAGAAACTGCTCATTTCAAAGGATTGATCCAAAAACTTTCGTTAACATGAAGTGATTTGTTTTTTTGTACATATATAAAATATATTGAAACAATTTACAAATTAGCATATTTTACGGCAAAAATCAATTTTCTGTAATGTAACAAAAGTATTTGAATTGCAATAATCAAAGAGCATAAGGATGATTTTTAAAACTTTTTGGTTTAAAAATTCAAAAAGTTGTAATATTGTTGATATTGAGAATTTCTAAAAGGGCTTTTACACCCTTAAATGATTTGGTTTTGAACAAACTTCTCAAATGGTTTTTTAATTGAGACAAAGAGACTACTTTTAAAGTCACTTTATAAAAGTGTAGCTATCTAAATTTTTATTCATAAAAGTTTCTCAAGTAATAACAGAGCACAAAAAAAAAATAAAAAAAAAAATAAAAAAAAATTGGCATCCTTAAAAGGACACTACTTTTATAGTGTATAAAAGTTCAATGGAAAATTTTTCATATTATGGAAATTTCCCGATAAAAACAAAAATTCAATATTTCACAAGGCCAAAAATTATTGCTGTTTTCCAGACTTTTAAACCTAATGATAAATCTCTTTCCTGATAAGATAATCAAACGAAACTTCAATTACAATCATATTCTTTAAAAGGCAAGAAGACTCGAAAATTTTCAAATAATTGTGACATGCATATCTTTTGGGGATCATAGCTTTATTTCTTAATGTTGAAGACTTTAGATTGCAAAGAAGGGGTAGCAGTGCATCACGACTAGCTTAAAAGATCTATTGGCCCCCCTTCTGAAGAGCTATTGACGGAAATCAGTAAGTTGAAAAACCTTTCATATCAAGGCGATTAAAGTTGCAAGAGTTTCGTGATCAAGTACCTTGTTTGCAGAAATGTTCTTGATCCAGTATAGCTTTTATGGTTAGAATTATCAATTTTTTTCTGTACTATTTATAATTGTTCTCAAAATATTATGTAAAAATTAAAGCGACAACACAACTAAACTTGTTACCACCAAGATAACTGAATTATACTTGTAAGTTTTTCACTGAAATAGATAGGTAAGTCCTATACCTTTCAAAAAATGCACACACTCTTCTCTTTTAAAAATCACACATGAAATGCTCTGGCAAGCCTTCTAGAAAGAATTTGCGTTCTGATACAGAACGAGATCCTTAAAGACAAAAAATGTTTTTTAACCACCTAAATTATTCTCCTAAATGAAGTCAGTATCACTCTCAATAAAATTTGGAAAATATTTGCCATCCACCTGAGAAATTTCCGTATTGTCGTAATTACATTTTTTGAGAAAAATTCAAAAGTGTTCAAATAATTTTTTTTTCTTAAAGTTTTAAGGAATAAATAAAAGTTTAAATGATTCATTTTTTTCAATTTCTTCTCATTTTCGTTGTTGTTTTTTTTTTTCAAAGTATTTTAACTACAATTCAAAAGTTTATGTGTACTTCACTTAGAAAATTAGAACAAAGTAACAAAAAGTTTGACATACACACAAACACACGCCTATATATATCAAGTTGTATTTCAGTCACTTTTATAGTTTATTTAATGTTAAAAAAAAACGTTGCCTTTAGAGAGAATTTATAACAAGCTCCCAAGAGACTTTTACAATGCTGAGCCTTCCCTTCATCGGAACTTTTTCTTTTAATTTTGTATTTTGCATTGTTTATGCATGAATAATTTTTTTTATTTTTCTCAGATTATTGAAAAATTATTCAACCCTTAAAAAATATTTTTCTGGCCTTTTTGCTTCCTTTATTTTAATCAATTGCTTCCATATTTAAGAATCCTTTGGGACAAAAAAAATAAGAGGAGAGAAAAGCATTCTTAAAAAAAAATTTCAAGAAGTGTTAAATATCAAATTTTAATAATTCATGGCCAAAAAAAAGAGAACCAAAAATTTTCCACATCAAATAATTTTTTAACAAAACGAGCTCATATTTCTTCAATATTCGAAACGTGTTTGATAACAGATGATCCCAAAATTATTTTTTTTGTGAAATTTTTTTAAAAAGCATTCATTAATTCGAAATGGGATTAATAAAACTGTCTGAGTTTCGGTATATGAAATATATTCCTAAGACTTTAAGGATGACTCACAAATGATCGATGCGGTCTGCAACTAACTTCAATTTATTTACAGTTCAAACACAATTTGCAATTAAGAAATCCTGGTTACGGCAAAATTTACTGATTTCATTGTAAATCACTTTCAAAAACAAATAAAATTTATTACCATTTTCAATAATTTTCCACTACTATTTTGTCTATTAAACTGCTAACTTATGTTAAATTTTGAATTGCATATACTTGGATATCGTTTGTCGATCTTAGACTCTTCGATCACTTTAATTTTATCACAAAAATTTTAAAATTATTACAATAAAAATATAAACGGCTCACTTCGTTTGCAAAGAGATGTTCATTACCATCTATATCTGAGGCCCACATCGTTATAAATAATTGTTTAATCAAAAATCTTTTTTCCAATATCTTTATTTTATATTTGTGAATTGAGGGATTTTAAAATCACAAAAAAAATTAGCACAACTCACTGATTTTTATTATTTTGTGTTTATTCTTATAGAATAAATTTTTATTTAATAGAAGCATCCTTTATTGTAGCGATTATAAATAAGATAAAAGTACGCTTGAAGAACAATATTTCAATTCTGTTTTTATATTAAATATAAGAAAATTTATGAAGTTATTATACAATATAACACTATTACAATATTATACGACATTACTAGAAAAATTTCTTTTGTATTTGATTTTATTCCGGACAACAATTTATGTACTGTTATTTACCTACATATATTTATGTCAATTTATAATATTGCAAATTCAGTAATTGAACACACAATTCATCCGAAGACCTTCAAAAAAATTCTTTTAAGATAAGGATATCAACTAGTGACAACAAGTATAATTTGTAAAAGCAACAATTCGATTGTTGCTTACAAGATAAATTAATTTAATAAGTACAGAACGCTTTTCATTTTAATGGCTGCACTTCTTACATCAACATTATTTTAATCTTTACTATTTTTGATATTTAATACACAAATTTTAATATTTTTAATTCATTTTATTAATTTTAAAATGCAGATTTTCTAATAATACTTAAATTAGTTATTATCGTAATTAAAATTCAAATGACGTACATTTGAACTCCAAAAATTTTTAAAGTATATAACAATCATTTAACAAACCAAAAATCATCTGAGCTGACGATAAAACAAAAATAATTGACATAACAATAATAATTATCAGATTAGAATAAAAGTAAAAGCAAAAGTAAAAGTAACCATTAAAATAATAATGTCTGCACATACGTGTGAAATACATTATCGTATTCTACCTATTCTACATATTTTATTTTGTATAACAATATCTTAATATTCAAAACAAATTACGTTCTTTTGATGATTTCACATTTCAAAAGCATTTTC